GCACGCACCGGATGTCACTGCGTCCGTCCACTGCTCCTCTGCGTGCCCCTTTGCCTTCTCCTCCTGCTTCCTCTCTTCTTGCTCTTGCCGACCCGGAGTCGGACTCTCTTCGTGCTGCCAGTCCTACTGTCACGCGTCTCCTTGCTACTGCTGTCACTGACCCTTCCTTCGAGTCGTCTGCTGCGTCTGCCCTTGTCACTGAGCTTGTCGACTTTGCTGCGCGCTGTCGTCTAGACTACGCTGCTCGTCTTGTCGCTGAGTCAGAGTCCGCCTGTCCTCCGTCCGTCGGGGGTGAGTGTGCCCTTGGCATGGACGTCCTAGAGGACAGGCAGGAGGAGTTCCAGTGTCTAGCCGCTGCTTCACCTCGTCTCGCGTCTGTACTGCTAGCCCCTGAGGAAGACCCGGATGCACTAGACATCCCGACTCCGCGTTCTTACGCGGAGGCCGTAGAGGGTCCCTACTCCTCTCAGTGGCAGGCAGCTATGGATGCAGAGATGGCTTCCTGGAAGTCCACAGGCACCTACGTTGACGCGGTTCCCCCTCCTGGGGCGAACATCGTCAGTGGCATGTGGATCTTCAGGGTGAAGCGGCCGCCGGGCTCGCCGCCTGTCTTCAAGGTGCGCTACGTGGCTCGTGGCTTCAGTCAGCGGCAGGGAGTTGACTACTTTCACACCTTCTCTCCCACCCCGAAGATGACCACTCTTCGGGTGCTGCTGCACATTGCCGCTCAGCGCGACTACGAGCTTCACTCTCTCGACTTCAGCACTGCGTTCCTGCAGGGTAGCCTGCACGAGGAGATCTGGCTGCGCCGTCCGCCTGGCTTCACTGGGACTTTCCCTCCTGGCACCCAGTGGAGCCTCCGACGGCCAGTCTACGGTCTCCGCCAGGCACCGCGTGAGTGGCACGACACACTGAGGACTACGCTTGCGGCTCTTGGGTTTGCTCCTTCTACTGCTGACCCGTCGCTGTTTCTTCGCACCGACACTTCCCTGCCGCCGTTCTACATCCTCGTGTACGTTGACGACTTGGTCTTTGCCACAGCGGACACTGCTGGACTCGCCTACGTGAAGTCCGAGCTGCAGAAGAGACACACGTGCACAGACCTGGGTGAACTGCGCAGCTACCTTGGCTTGCAGATCACTCGGGACAGAGCACGCCGCACCATTACCCTGACTCAGTCACACATGGTGCAGCAGGTCCTTCAGCGCTTCGGCTTCACGTACTCCTCGCCTCAGGCCACTCCTCTGCCTACTCGCCACTCACTCTCAGCTCTGCCTTCGGATGAGTCCGTAGAGTCGAGTGGTCCGTATGCAGAGCTTGTTGGCTGCCTCATGTACCTGATGACCTGCACACGACCTGACCTTGCATACCCTCTGAGCATCCTTGCACGCTATGTTGCTCCTGGGAGACACCGACCAGAGCACATGGCTGCAGCGAAGAGGGTATTGCGCTACCTGTGCAGTACGTCGGGCATGGGGCTAGTGCTTGGAGGGCGGAGTCCAGTGGTCCTTACTGGGCACGCAGACGCTTCTTGGGCTGACGACCAGGCTACGCAGCGGTCGTCACAGGGTTACACCTTCAGCCTTGGTTCCGGCTCTGTCTCGTGGCGGTCTACTCGCTCGTCTTCGGTTCTCGGCTCCAGTTGTGAGGCTGAGATCTACGCCGGGGCCATGGCTGCACAGGAGCTTCGCTGGCTCACCTACCTGCTGACTGACCTTGGAGAGCTGCCTCGTTCTCCTCCAGTGCTGTACGTAGACAACAAGGCCATGTTGGCCTTGTGTCGAGAGCAGCGCTTGGAGCACAGAACGAAGCACATTGCTCTCCGCTACTTCCTTGCTCGTGAGCTGCAGCAGCGTGGTCAGTTGCGACTTGCTTACGTGGCCTCTGAGGCCAACACTGCTGATGTGTTCACCAAGGCACTTGCGCCTTGCGACCATCAGCGCTTTTGTACCCAGCTGGGTCTTGTACCTGTCTTGCCTCACTTGCTCTCTTCTTGACTTTACTTGTACTTTGACATATATATACCTGCTCTTGCTTGTCTAGTTTTATATATATGTCTGTACTCCTGCATGTGAACTGGCCTCTGGCCTTGCTCTTGTGCTCGGACTGTGTGGTGACTTTGTGATCCACCCTGAGCTTGCTTTGCTTTGCTTTGCTTGACTGGTCTTGTGACCCCTTGTTCTCCCCCACTTTGCCTATGGGGGTGTGTCAGATTATTATAGCTGATGCATGTTTGTAGGCTATAGTGGGGTAGCACATATGGGGTACAGTTTGCTAGGGTTGTATTTGTACCCAACTCTGACTTAGTCAATTCATTCCTGTTCATTCCTTTCACAATACGGTAACTCTGAACGTTCAGCGTAAAAAACGTAGTGTTGTCTGAATTTTCAGACTAGAAAAAATAGGTAACTCTGACAGCCAGACTAAGAAGAGGGGTGTACTATGAGGCGTGAGACTACCGTCTCCCCCCGGATATAAGCGCCACCCTAGGATAAGCGCCTGGCGCTTCTAATTGGCATATGGCGCTTATATCCCCTCCTCGATTATAAGCGCACCCCTTGAAAAAACTTGTTTTATTATAAGCGCACGTAAACTTTAAAATTTGAAATGTGTTCAAAAAGCTGTAACGATTTTTACTTTAGCAGGCGGATATGTTGCAGAATCGGTTCCCTTCACATTCGGACCCTGCACTGGATGCGGGTCCAGTCAGCAGGACCTGTCAGGAGCTGGATGTGAGTCAGATTGGGTGTATCTCCCAGCGCGCGCGATAATTTCACAGACGATCCCATGTAACTTCGACTCGATTGAAAAGGCAAGCACGAGACCTACAGTTTGGTGTTAAAAGATAAAAAAAAATATGTATGTCATTTTATAAACGCCGGCGCTTATAAATTTACTCGATTATAAGCCCACCCCCATGAAAAAACCTGTTTTATTATTGCCCCCCATGGGGGTATATCCGGGGGGATACGGTACCTCAAAACGAATCTAGGGGCCTGTTTCACTCTTGCCATTTCAACCGAGTCGTTTTTTTTTCCCGTCACAAAGCAGAATCGCGTGCAAGCGATTCTCTTCCAGCATAGAGGGGCCAAGATGCGACACTTGCAGTCATGCCAGCACATCCTGACTGGACGCGCAGCCAGTCAGGTCTTCGAGAGTCAAGCTAGGCGAAAATGAGATTATACTCGCTTCGAAATTGAAACTCGCTAGAGTTTTAAACAGAAAATTTGATATAATTCTACATGCGCTTATAAAAAGTAATGTTTTCACAGGCGGTGCACTTATAATTGAGGATCGGCCATAAGCGCATTGCTCCAGATAGAAGCGCACGCGCTTATCATAGGCCTGCGCTTCTATCCGGGGTGATACGGTATTTGTACCCATCTCATTTTCTTGTCAATAATTCCTCTTTAGGTATTTCTACACGAAACTCAATTAAAGCGCCCCCCTTAAAAAAATCAAATTTATTATAAGCGCATATGCGCTACTATCCGGGGTAATACGGTACCACAAACAACCCATCTCATCGTTCCTCCTTCCTTGGCCTCCCAGCAGAGAACGGGGATGGTGCATGTAGCTCAGTGGCACAAGTGAAGGCTGACACGCTGACACACCCTTCTGCACCCGTTCTCATCTCGTGATATGCATGCCGACCAAGCTGCCCCACCACCATCTACACAGTGCCATCCTCCCATGCTGGTTGGAATAATGTCTCTATTACTCACTTCAGCAACAACTACAGAATCTGCAACTTAACCAGGTCTCAAACACATTGACTAAAGGCCTGGACGACATGCGCTTGAAATGACATTGATAGCCACCTCACCCAATTTCCTATTCGTCCCCCAAACTCTCAGATTCCATCTCATCATCCCCCTCACCTCCCCACCCCATCCTTGCCTTCCTCGTCCTCCTCATCTCCACCTTACTCCACCTCCCCCTTTCCCCACTCCCTTGGCCTTCACTCTCCTCGCTTTCACTCCCCTCTCCTTCCTCCTCTTCACTCTTCTCATCCTCCTCCCCCATCCACCACACTTCCCCTTCACCTTCTTCCTCCGATCCGAGCCACCCACTGCGCACTCTCCCTTGTCCAGGTTCGCCGTACCATAGATTACCACCCTCTGTCTTGCCCCCTTCAAAGACACATCCGGCTTGCCAAGCCCCAGCAGCGCCAATCATTTAAACAGCTGCCCGTGTACACGGAGAATTTGCGAAACCTGGCCGCCCGGGTAGGATGCCAACTCATCAAGACCACTTGGCTGCTGACATGTCGTCACAAGAGAGGGCAGACTTGAAGACACCTAGGAGGGGGTAATTTGGGGGGAGGGAGAGTGGTGGAGATACTTAGGCAGGCTTCAGCAGTGCAAATTTAGAATGACCAGAAAACAGAAACAGAACCCTACCACCAACATGCGTCCCGGCAACAAAGTAACAACACTTAACGCTCAGGTTGAGATGACACGCTTTTATGCAGCTCAAATGCCGTTCAGCCAACAAAGGTACAAGTGCAGCGTGGGTTCACATCAAACACTGCATACAATCATATGACTCTCTCTCTAATGAACCCCCCACCCTCCCTCATATCACCTATTTCCTCCTCTGAATCATCCTCTTCCATCAACTTGCCATTCCTCTCTCACCCTCTCCGTCCTTGCTTTGCTCGTCCTCCTCATCTTCATCTCACTCCACTAGCTCCTCCGTTCCACATTCCCCTACCCTTCACTCCGCTCTCCTTTGCTCCCTCCCCCTTCGCCCTCCTTTGTTCCCCTCACCTTCGCTCCACTCCCCTTCATTCACACCTCCTCGTTGTTACCCTCACCTTCGCTCCCCTCCACTTTATTCCCCTTCCCTTCGTTCCCCACCGCTTCGTTCCCTTCCCCTTGGCTCCCCACCCCTTCGCTCCGCTCCCTTTCGTTCCCCTCCCCTTCGGACCCCTCTCCTTCGTTCCCTTCCCCTTCGTTCCCCTCCGCTTCGTTCCCCTCCCGTTCGATCCCCTCCCCTTAGCTCCCCTCCCTCTCGCCCCCATTCCCTTCGTTCCCCTCCCCTTTGCTCCCCTCCCCTTCTCTCCCCTCCCTTTTGTTCCCCTCCCCTTCATCCCCGTCCCCTTCGCTCCCCTCCCCTTCGTTCCCCTCTCTTCCCTCCCTTCCACTCCTTTCGCCTTCACGCCCCTCATCCGCCTCAGCTGTCCCGACTTCCCCTTCATCCTCCCCCCCCTCCTCCTCTTCCCCCTCCTCCTCATCCTCGCCCTCCTCCTCATCCTCCCCATCCTCCTCATCCTCGCCCTCCTCCTCATCCTCATCCTCATCCTCCGAGTCATCTTCTCCCTCCGAGTCATCTTCTCCCTCCGACTCATCTTCTCCCTCCGAGTCATCTTCTCCCTACGACTCATCTTCTCCCTCCGACTCATCCTCTTCCTCCTCCTCCTCCCCGACCTGCGAGTCATCCACCACACGCTCTCCCTCGTCCAGGTTCGCTGCGTGAACCACGAACCTTAAATTTGGCTCCCGCCGGTGGAAGCTAGAGACAATGCATCCCTGCAGCTTCAGCATCTGCCCAAGGCCTGAGGGTAACTGAGACAGCCGCTTGCAGTCGATCACTTCCAACTTCTCCAGCGCGGGCAGCTGGGCAAAAGATTCGGGCAGGCTGCGGAGTTTGGGCAGTGACGAGAGCGAGAGTTCCTTCAAAGCAGAGAGCTTCCAGAAGTCATCTGGAAGGCTCGAGATTCCAACATCCTTCAAATGACACTCCTCCAGACTACAGAGATCGCCGAAGGACTCGGGCAGCCTGGTTAGGCTCCAGCATTGTTCAATTCTAAGAACCTGAAGCTTCTTTAGCTGCCCGAGCGACTCAGGCAGCTCCGTCAAGCTCGCGAGACCATCAAGATTGAGGGAAGTGAGGACTGACAGCTTTCGTATTGACTCTGGCAGAGCAAGCAGGCTGTTGGTATAGTTGATCGAGAGTGTCTGCAAGAGAGAGAGGCAAGCGATGGAATCTGGAAGGCACCGTAGTGGATCCATTTGCGAGATACCCAAGAAGGTTACGGATGAGAAGTAACCCAGTGATGGCGCGAGCAGCTGCACTGGAAGGCCCCATACTTGAAGAACCTTGAGGGATGGGAGTGACACACCCATGCCACTCTCCTCGGATCCCAAACAGCTGCCAGCGGCATTGCTGCTACCCGTGTGACCAGGTACCTCGAGGCGGGTGCTTCCCGCCCCACGGCCATGTGATGCGGCTCCCTGGTTTTCCTCCCCGAACAGTGACTGTAGCGCGTTGCAGTATTTCAACTGCAGTTTTTTCAAATGCAGCAGCTGACACAGCGAGCGAGGGAGCGACTTCAGGTTGGGTAGACTGTAGAGCGTGAGTCTTTCAAGCGCTCCCAGCCGTCCGATTTCCTCTGGCAGCGCTGTGATTTGCGGGCAATCGAGCAGCTCGAGCTTGGTGAGAGAACGGCCGATGGCAGGGAGGGAGGGAGGCAGGGCGGACAGGTGCGGCAAGCAGTAAAAAGAGAGCTCCTTAAGGTTTGTCAAGTGGGAAAACACGTCTGGTAGCGTGCCTAGGCTGGTTGCGCCACTGATTTCTAGGGTTTCGAGTGAGGAGAGGCCAGAGAAGGATGGAGGGAGGTGGGCGAGAGCTGTGCATTGGACTAGAATCAGTCTGAGCAGGCGATGCAGGCCATTCCCCATGCCCTGCGGTAGTGCTGTCAGCTCGCAGCAGTGACTGATGTCCAGCTGCTCGAGAGAAGACAGCAGGCTCAGGCCGTCTGGAAGCTGTGCCAGCGCAGGGCAACGGGATATTTTCAGCTCCTTGAGGCTCGTCAAGCTGCCAAGCGACGCGGGCAGGCTGTGGAGCTCAGAAAGGTCAACCAGGCGTAGGGCCTCTAGGGCAGTCAACTGCCCGAATTCCTCGGGCAGAGAATGTAGAGTTGCAGAGTTTTCAATGGTGAGGTCTTTGAGTGTGGTGGCAAGGTATGTGGAGGGACGCAGGTGCACGGCAGTTCCAACGTATAGCTTGAGCGTGCGTAGGCGTGGCAGAAGAGCGAGGTCGTCAGGCAGATGCTGGAGTGTTCGGGACACGAGGATAAGGTCCGTTAGAGAAAGCAGCTGCCCAATACTCTCGGGCAGATCTGTGCTCCCCCCCACATCCTCCAAACGTAGGGTTTCAAGCGCCGGCAGGTTCCCGAACCCCTCGGGCAGCGGTGAAAGGATGAGGCCGTTGAAAATTTCGAGGGTCAGTAGCGATGAAAGATTGGAAATGGATTCGGGCAGCTGAAGCCTCTCGAACCCGCTGAAGGAAAGTTGCATCAAGCCAGTAAGCTGCCCCAAAGGATTGGGAATGGAAGTGAGATGCATGCAGTCGTTCAGGCGGAGCGTCTTGAGCCGCCTCAGATTGCCGAAGCCCTGAGGCAGTTCAACCAGGCTGCGCATTTCAATCACGAGATGCGCGAGTGCCTGTAACGAGGTGAACGCGTCTGGAAGGCGAGCGATTCCCCCCCTGTCGGTGATGTGCAGGCTCTTGAGTGACGAAAGGCCGCCGATTGACGCGGGAATGGCGGTCAGTTTCGACTGACAATGAAGATGAAGTCCCTCCAGCCGCGTGCACTTCTCCAGGAGATCCGAGAATGCGTTCTCAGTGAACCCCCCCTGCCGGCACTCTCGTTCCATCGAATCGACGTGGAGGTCCGTCAGATCTGGACACGTGTCGGCAATCCCCGAGAGGAGGGAGTCAGGGACGGATGTGATGCTGCCGACGGCGAGGACGAGTTTTCGGAGCCTTGGGAATGACGAGAGTAGTGCGAGCAGCTCGCGAGGACGCATGCGACGCTCTTCGCGAATCTGGATGTGGTCGTGCACGCTACGGGCGATGCGATGCCATTTCTTGCGCACAAGCGCGTGCTGGAACTGGCCGGATCGGCCGACGCGATGGAGGATAGCGGAGAGAAGATCGTTTGACAGCTGTTCGACCGGCGATACCGCAGCCATTCTGACTGGCTAATAAGATGAAACGGAATAGTGCTGGAAGGCTAATAAGGTTGCTGGGAGAGATCTGCGCAATAGCAAAGGAACCCTCAGTTATATAGTGGCTGATGTGTCAGTAAGAGTGCGTGGCAATCCCTAGGTTGCGTGTCCCAGCGGATGTGCTCCTGGACTCTCACCCCCCTTTACCCGTGAGAGCAAAGCCGACGTTGCTCACCTTCCTCCCCTTGCCACCCAGAACCCGTGGTGCCCCTCGTCGCGTGAGCCAGATCCCCTTCCCTCCCCCGCACCTTAGAATACTACTCGGCGCCGCCTCGCAAAGAATCGACGCCTCAGGAGGGAGTGTTGCTCAGGGTCCGCGGAGCCCCTGGTCTGCCGAATCAGGGCTGGTCCGACGGACCAGGCCCAAACCAAGTCCTACACGAATCTCGAGAGCTGATCTGGTTTTACACGAATCTAGATGGCTGCTCCGACGGACCAAATCAAACTCGGGGATTTGCGTGGCAGACCCGCAAAATAGCTCACGAAGCGTATAGCGCGGGTTTTTTTTCGCGTATAGCGCGCGCGTATAGGCTGAAGCCTCAGTGAGAGAGTGGCTGCAGCAATCCCAAGGTTGCGTGTCCCAGCCCAGCGGATGTGCTCGTCCTCACTTGCCCCTGCCCGTGGGAGCAAAGCCGACATTCCTCCTTCCCTTCCCACTGACGGGTAGGCGGACTGGGCCCCCTTGCCACCCAGAACCTGTGGTGCCCCTCATCGCGTGAGCCTTCCCCCAGGTCCCTCCCCGCCCGGACGCTCCCCTATCACTGGTATCAACACTGATATCCCTCGCTAAGAACCAACGTTTCGGCGAATTTGGTGCAAAAGGGAAACCAGACGTGCTAGAATATTCGTGACGCGAAAAGCAAATCTTGTCGTGAACTTACCTGAGTGCAACACAGACACACGAAGTGTTTCGCGCAAGGAAATCGCCTGCAAGAGTCGCACGCTTCGCCAGCCAAACAACTTCTATCCCGTGCAATAGCATTCTCGGCTGCACACAACTCCAACCGATGTTCCAAACCCCATAAACGCGTATAGGCTGAAGCCTCAATGAGAGAGTGGCTGCAGCAATCCCAAGGTTGCGTGTCCCAGCCCAGCGGATGTGCTCGTCCTCACTTGCCTTTGCCCGTGGGAGCAAAGCCGACATTCCTCCCTTCCCTTCCCACTGACGGGTAGGCGGACTGGGCCCCCTTGCCACCCAGAACCTGTGGTGCCCCTCATCGCGTGAGCCTTCCCCCAGGTCCCTCCCCTAGAAATCCAAACCACCTGACGGGGGAAGGGCGGGCCAAAGGCGGAAGCAGCACTCGGATCCTCTGCTTCGACCGGGATTCTTTTTTTTTTTGGCGAAACTCCATTTTGCCCGTGGCGAGACGATTTTACTCGGATTTGACTCGGATTCGGCGCAAAAGGGGGTTGGACCTTACAAAATCCAAACCACCTGATGGCGCAACGAAATGGGCGCAAGAGTGGTTACACTACCGGTTTGGATCATCGACGGTCGCACGAAAGCGACTTCGCAACCACTGTTCTACAGTATTTGTATATAAACTTTGTTCTTGACACTTTGGTGTAATTCTGACATGCAGAATGTCAAAATGGCTAAGTCAAAATTCTATATGGTTTGGCTCATAACTCCATAATTTGTTGGTCATTTGCACACAACTATGGATTTCCAGCATCTCCTTAATGTCCTCTACCAGCGGGAATGACGTTGTTAATTTGTCAAATTTGTTACATTTTGTCACTTTTGGGTCAACTAAGGTTGCTCATAGCACATGTAAAGTCATTCTCTGGGCATCACACACATGTGTTATGTGGTGATCATTTTTTTTTTTGCATTTTTAGTGTTATGACACCTGTTCCAGCCCCCCTGAACATTTTCAGCTCTATGCAAACTGGTTTGGTGGACTTTTTCTTGCAAGGAAGTTAGTGCTGAGTTGCCTGATGTGATGTGTCAGGTGAAATCACCCACTTCTCCTTGGGCAAATGAGCCCATTTTGATAGGGCACTGTCATAAAACCTAGTCCTGATCCCTATCCAGTTTTCACTTCATTTCATCAAGGTTTGCCATGCTTTTCATGTTATATTCTTGAGAAAGTTTGAACGAGAATGAATGAACTATGAGTGAAGTGAGTACAAATAGCAAACCCTAATTGGGTTGTACCCCCTATGGGATACCCCACTATAGCCTACACAACAGCATAAGCTATATAATGTTCTGACACACCCCCATAGGCAAAGTGGGGGAGAACAAAGGGTCACAAGACCAGTCAAGCAAAGCAAAGCAAAGCTCAGGGTGGATCACAAAGTCACCACACATTCCGAGCACAAGAGCAAGGCCACAAGGCCAGTTCACATGCAGGAGTACACACATATATATATAAAGCTAGACAAGCAAGAGCAGGTATACATATGTGACAGTACAAGTAAGGTCAAGAGGAGAGCAAGTGAGGCAAGACAGGTACAAGACCCAGCGGGGTGCAGAAGCGCTGATGGTCACAAGGCGCGAGTGCCTTGGTGAACACATCAGCAGTGTTGGCCTCAGACGCCACGTACGCAAGCCGCAACTGTCCACGCTGCTGTAGCTCACGAGCAAGGAAGTAGCGAAGAGCAATGTGCTTCGTTCTGTGCTCTAGACGCTGCTCTCGACACAAGGCCAGCATGGCCTTGTTGTCTACGTACAGCACTGGAGGAGAACGAGGCGGCTCTCCAAGGTCAGTCAGCAGGTAGGTGAGCCAGCGAAGCTCCTGTGCAGCCATGGCCCCTGCGTAGATCTCAGCCTCACAACTGGAGCTGAGAACCGAAGACGAGCGAGTAGCCCGCCACGAGACAGAGCCGGAACCAAGGCTGAAGGTGTAACCCTGTGACGACCACTACGTAGCCTGGTCGTCAGCCCAAGAAGCGTCCGCGTGCCCCGTAAGGACCACTGGACTCCGCCCTCCAAGCACTAGCCCCATGCCCGACGTACTGCACAGGTAGCGCAACACCCTCTTCGCTGCAGCCATGTGCTCTGGTCGGTGTCTCCCAGGAGCAACATAGCGTGCAAGAATGCTAAGAGGGTATGCAAGGTCAGGCCGTGTGCAGGTCATCAGGTACATGAGGCAGCCAACAAGCTCTGGGTACGGGCCACTCGACTCTACGGACTCATCCGAAGGCAGAGCTGAGAGCGAGTGGCGAGTAGACAGAGGAGTGGCCTGAGGCGAGGAGTACGTGAAGCCGAAGCGCTGAAGGACCTGCTGCACCATGTGTGACTGAGTTAAGGTAATGGTGCGGCGTGCTCTGTCCCGAGTGATCTGCAAGCCAAGATAGCTACGCAGTTCACCCAGGTCTGTGCACGTGTGTCTCTTCTGCAGCTCGGACTTCACGTAGGCGAGTCCAGCAGTGTCCGCTGTGGCAAAGACCAAGTCGTCGACGTACACGAGGATGTAGAACGGCGGCAGAGAAGTGTCGGTGCGCAGAAACAGCGACGGGTCAGCAGTGGAAGGAGCAAACCCAAGAGCCGCAAGCGTAGTCCTCAGTGTGTCGTGCCACTCACGCGGTGCCTGGCGGAGACCGTAGAGTGGCCGTCGGAGGCTCCACTGGGTGCCAGGAGGGAAAGTCCCAGTGAAGCCAGGTGGACGGCGCAGCCAGATCTCCTCGTGCAGGCTACCCTGCAAGAACGCAGTGCTGAAGTCGAGAGAGTGAAGCTCGTAGTCCCGCTGAGCGGCTATGTGCAGCAGCACCCAAAGAGTGGTCATCTTCGGGGTGGGAGAGAAGGTCTGAAAGTAGTCAACTCCCTGCCGCTGACTGAAGCCACGAGCGAACGTACCGCGCCTTGAAGACAGGTGGAGAGCCCGGCGGCCGCTTCACCCTGAAGATCCACATGCCACTGACGATGTTCGCCCCAGGAGGGGGAACCGCGTCAACGTAGGTGCCTGTGGACTTCCAGGAAGCCATCTCTGCATCCATAGCTGCCTGCTACTGAGAGGAGTAGGGACCCTCTATGGCCTCCGCGTAAGAGCGCGGAGTCGGGATGTCTAGTGCATCCGGGTCTCCCTCAGGAGCAAGCAGTACAGACGCGAGATGAGGTGAAGCAGCAGCCAGACACTGGAACTCCTCCTGCCTGTCCTCTAGGACGTCCGTGCCAAGAGCACACTCACCCCCAACGGACGGAGGACAGACAGACGCAGACTCAGCAACAAGACTGGCAGCGTAGTCTAGACGACAGCGAGCAGCAAAGTCGACGAGCTCAGTGACAAGAGCAGACGCAGTAGCGGACTCAAAAGAGGGGTCAGTGACGATAGTAGCAAGCAGACACGTGACAGTAGGACTGGCAGCACGAAGGGAGTCCGACTCTGGGTCGGCAAGCACAGGAAGGGAGGACTCAGGAGTAGAAGGCAAAGGCGCACGCAGAGGAGCAGTGGACGGACGCAGAGACATACGGTGCGTGCCAGGGACAGGAGGAGGACGCTGACGCGAACCGCGACCACTAGTGCGAGTAGCACGAACAGGCGACGCGGGACGAGACGCAGGCTCACGGCGCTCAGCAAGAACCCCAGTAGGACCAGTGTAAGGAGAGGGAGCATGCAGTGGGGAGGTAGGCTCCAACAGTGACTGCGACTGGACAGGCTGTGGACACCCTACGGGAGGAGAAAGACCAAGAACCTGCTGCAGGAGCGGAACGAAGTACGGCTGAGGCCGCGCGGCAACTCCAGACTCAGCAGGGACAGCACCAGCACCCTCAGCGGTAGCATCAACACCACCAACACCTCCAGCGGCAGGACCTCCAGCAGCACCAGCAGCAGGACCACCGCCAGGACAGACAGCAGTAGTCTCAGTACCAACACCCTCAGCAGCTCCAGCTCCAGCAGCACCCGCAGGCCCAGCAGCTCCGGGACCGACGGCACCAGCACCCTCGGCGGTCGAAGAAGCTCCAGCACCAGCAGTACGCCTCCAGCGGCGAGCAAACCACTCGCGCAGCTCCTGTG